CAGGGGGACTCCCTGCCCAGGGGCCCCCGTGGAGGAATCTGTGTCCACCCACACAGCTAAAGGGGATTACTTCGGTACGGAACAGAATCTCAGAGCCACGTCAGCCCGCGCTTGGCTTCTTCCCTTCCGGCCGACCTTTTAAAGTACCGAGTGTCTATGCCTTGGAAGTCTGTAAGGCTCTGCCGTTACAACAGCATAAAAGCAGTTTGTCTGATGTGTGCATGACAATAACGGAGATGTGATAAAAAAAAAAAAAAAAAAAACACAGGCGAAAGGCGACTGCGGGCCCAGTGAGGCGTTTGAAACGCCTGCAGACTTTCCGGAGAGAGGCGTCCGGGCATAAACTCTTTCAAACCCCACTTGTGTGTGGTCTTTCCAGCCCAATCCAGTGCCCCTTTTGGATGAAATTTTGTGATCAATCAAGTAAGGTCAAGCGTATTTACTGGTCAAACATCTTCTCACTGGAGCCCGGCCGGCGTGGCTCCGTGATTGAGCATCGACCTATGAACCAGGAGGCCACAGTTCAATTCCCGGTCAGGGCACAGGCCTGGATTATAGGCTCGATCCCCAGAGTGGGGCGTGCAGGAGGCAGTTTATCAATAATTCTCTCTCTTCATCGATGTTTCTATCTCTTTCTCCACTCCCTTCTTTTTGGATATCAATTAGAAAATATTTTTTAAAGATCTTCTAATCGGAGTCTTAAGAGTCGACTTTTCCCACGTATGTATGCTTCATTTCTGGAATAACCCTCCCATCACCCCCACCCCCACCCCCAGGTTTGATAGCCCAGGGATTTCTCACTGTGAGTTGGAAGTCCCAGTAAATCCCAGAATATCCAACAGGTAAGGCCTAGTTTGGTTTTTCCTTCGAAGCTCCTATCGAAGTTAACCCTGGAGCCCTAGCCGGTTTGGCTCAGCGAACAGAGCATCAGCCTGTGGACTGAAGGGCCCCAGGTTCGATTCAAGTCAAGGGCACATACCTCAGGTGCAGGCTCCCGGCCCTGGTTGGGGGCATACAGGAGGCAACCAATTGATATGTCTCTCTCATCGCTGTTTCTCTCTCTCTCTCCCTCTCCCTTCCACTCTCTCTCTATGAAATGCTGAAAGGTATTCTTTAAGAAGAAGAAAAAGGTAAAGATAAAGATTATGAATAACAATTACATGCCTATCAATAAGTGAATCTAAAAAATCAAGGGAATAAAAAATCTGAGGAACAGAATAAACTGGTGAAAAGAATAGAATCAGGGGCATAGAAAGGGAGTGGACTGACAATTCTCGGGGGCGGGAAAAGGGTGTGAGGGTGCGGGAAGAGACGGGACAAAAATCATACACCCATGGATGAGGACAGTGGGGGGAGGAAAAGGGCAGAGGGTGGGGTGGGAACCGGGGGGAGGGGAGCTATGGGGGGGAAAATGAGGAACAATTGTAATAATCTGAACAATAAAGATTTATTAAATTAAAAAAAAAACAATGGAAAAAAATATCCTTGGATGAGGATTAAGAAACAAAACAAACAAAATTAACCCCCGGAGAGTATAAACCTGAATGAGTCCATCTCAGCCACACCTCCCCTCGTCCAGGGGAGAGCTGGGAAAGAGGGAAAGGGAACATCCAAAGTGAGGAGTTGTGTCCATTATCACAAGCAGCGGGAGCCCTGAGCCATTTAAATCATCGGGGGAGGCGGAGGGAGGACACTGATTTCCAGGGAGCCTTGCTGGCGGAGTACAAATGGGGGCTGTTTATCTTCTCTCCTCCTCCTAAGGGCCTTAATGAGTGCAGGCCGGGGATGGTGTTTAGCAACCGGATCCAGCAGGTCAGTTATGACAACTTCATCACTGCCATCCGTGCCCGTTGTTTGCGGCCGACACAAAACCGTTCAGCATGAAGAGAGTCCAGGGAAAGAAAGAGGGTGGGGGGAGGAAAGGGAGTGAGAGAGCAAAGGAGAGAGATGGGAATCAAGGCTGGCATGCCATCGACACCAAAGAAAAGACACCCGTGGGGGATCCAGGCAGCTGACTTCAGGGGTGGAGGGGGAGATCCAGTGTTGGACTCCCCGTTTTTTCCTTCGAAAAGGGCAGTTGCTTGTGTTTAGGAAGGCTAACCCGTTTGGGTTCCCAGCAATGCCCCGGGGGCTGTTATTTTTGGTAAGGGGGGGTCTTCCTGCTTCCAGGGCCGAAGAGTTGGAGCATCTAGCACGCTGGGGTGAAATAAAGCAAAATAAACAAGAGGAAATGCAGTGGCCTTAGTTAGAGACCTACTGGGTGTCAGCTGAGGAGCACAGTTCTTGTTTATTTGTGGGGTTTTCTTGCAAATCCTCACCCGAGGGCAATTTTTTCCGTTGATTTTTAAAGTGTAAGGGAGGGAGGGGCAGAGGAAAAGAGAGAGAAGAGAAACCAATGTGGGAGAGACACATGGATTGGTTGCCTCCTACACGTGCCCTGACTGGGGCTGGGGATTGAACTTGCAAACCCTGATACACGCCCTTGACTGGGAATTGAACCCAAGATCCTTCTGTGCACAGGCCGGCGCTCTAACCACTGAGCGAGCTACACAGGCCAGGGTGCAAGGTGTTCATTTTTTTTTTTTTTTTTTTTTACATGTTTTATCTCCCCCTGTCTTTTCAACAGCCCTGGGGGTCGCGGCCTCATTCCCACGGTGGTAAGGAGAACAGTGGAGTCCAGAGATATCATATGTTCCCTCTGAGATCACCCAGCTAGTCAGAGCGGGAGCAGGGGTTCAAATTCAGGGGTGTCTCCTGTGCCATGTTGCAACCCCCCAAACCCCGAAACCAAACATCCTCCCCGCCCCCCCCCCACCCCCCGCGCCCCAAACAAAACAAAAAAGAAAAAGCCCATCACCACCAAGGAAAATTCTTAACAGAGTCCAAGAGGCCAGTCTATACATCTCAGCATCGGGAAGGCCATAGACATGCAGGCAGAAGTAGGTATGTATTTGGTGGTCTGCTCATGACAAGGATGGGGCGGTAAAAAGACATCATTGAAAGAAACTGCATTAATGAAATCATGAAACGCGTTACAGGGTTTTGGGGGGACTTACCCTTCCTTCTCGGATGATCCTTGACATGACATTCTGTGTTCCTGTTTTTAGGCAAAAAAAAAAAGAAAAAAGAAAAAAGTGGGTGGGAGTTGAAGGCTTGCTATTTGGCTCATGCAAATCAAGCATCTTGGTCTCCTTCCAGCGTGTGTGTGTGCTCCCTGGCCATTTAGAGTTTCTGCTGCCCAGCCCAACCCCTCCGACGCACTTCTCACAGCCCGCCTGTCCTTTTCTGGACAACTTGACTAACATCCTGGGGCGAATCTTGAGAAAAACGCCCGGTAAAACTGGCCAATTGTGGTGGCGGGCATACAGGGGACAGAGAGAGGGGTGGGGGTGGGGGTTGGTATGGTGAGAGAGGGAGAGAGAACCGGGGAGGGTAGGGGTTCCTGCCATGACCACCAGATCAGGCCGCTCCTCTCCTGCTGTGATATCCAAAAATTGAATTGAGCTCTGTGACCCTCCTAAGCCACTGACAGAACACTCTCTCAGTCCCTGTGACATCCAGGCTCGGGGTGCAATGTGATTGGTGCAGATGAATGAAAGGGATTTAAAAACAATTAATTCATGCCGCCGAAACCAGTTTGGCTCGGTGGATAGTGTGTCGGCCTGCAGACTTGAAGGGTCTCAGGTTCGATTCCTGTCAAGGGCATGTACCTTGGTTGCGGGCACATCCCCAGTGCGGGGTGTGCGGGAGGCAACTAATCAATGTTTCTCTCTCATCGATGTTTCTAACTCTCTCTCTTTCAAGAAAATATATCCTTTCAATAAAATATATTTAAAAAATAAAAATAATAAAAACAATGAGTTCATTCCCAGCTCAGGTCTTTGAAAGGCTTCGGGGTGTCCCTTAAGGGCAGCCCCGCGTGCCCCGGGGTGTACCCCGCTGTGGAAAAAAGTGAGAAGCAGATGAAAACCCCAGGCCCACGTGGGGAGGGGTGACCAGACTCTGAGAATGCAGACCAGGAAGCTGGAAATTCCCTCCCGTTGGTGTTGTCAGCTTCTGGCTTTCCCACTTCCCCAAGTGCCCCGCCTTGGTGTTGTCAGCTTCTGGCTTTCCCACTTCCCCAAGTGCCCCGTGCGGTGTGTGGTGCACACGGGGCTCCCTAATCGTCTGGAGCTGGAGGGCAGGAGGACTAGGGTCCAATTCTCAGAGGCCCCTTAGGACCCCAACTCGGCCCTCCCGCCATGCCCCCCGGGAGCCTGGCAGCGCCTCCCTCCGTGGGACCCCTCAGGGCGGCAGCTCGGCTCCAGGGGGGTCGCTGTCCCCCCAGGTTGGGGCTTGAAACAAGCAAACTTTCTCCGGCTGCTGCTGGGTTTCTCTTTGCTGCGTTCACATGGGGGGTGGGGGGAGTGTTCAGGGTCAGGAGTAGGGGCGCTGTTTGAGGGCGACCTTGACCTCGGCTTCAGAGCTTCAGCATCTCCGGGGGGCAGGCGGGGGACATGGCTGCGGGGGGGGGGGGCGCCCCAGACCTCCTGGAGGGGTGCGGACTGACCTCCCCAGTTTGAGAGCCGCCGCCCGGCGCAGAGACCTCCCCGCGGGCCTCCGGTCCCCGCGCACGTGGATTTGGGGGGCCGGGGTTGGAAAGGGGGCGCTGGAGAGGATCAAAGCGGCGTGAGAGCCAGCGGCCGGGGCGGGCAGCCCGCGGGAGGAGGGGGGAGGAGAGGAAGTCCCTCGTGGCCACCCCGAGGGGAGGGCGGGCCGGTGCCGGCGGGGACTCGGTCGGTCGGTCGGTCGGGAGGCGCGGGGAAGGCACGGGCGGCGGGCGCGCGCTCCGAGCGGACCCCGCGGAAGGGGCGGGGCCGGGGGCGCGGGGCGGGAGCGCGCAGGGGGGGCTGCCCCGGGGCGGGGGGCGGGGGACCCCGCGGGCGGCGGCGGGAGCGCGCAGGGCGAGCGCGCGGCGGCGCGGGGCGCGGGCGGGGGCGCGCGGGGCGGGGGGGCTGCCCCGGGGCGGCCCCCCCACGTCGGGGCGGCGGCAGCGGCGGCGGCGGGAGCGCGTCCCGTCCGGGCCCCGAGGAGCCGGCCGCCCCGCCGCCGCCGCCGCCGCCGGCCGCCAACATGGCGGACCTGGAGGCCGTGCTGGCCGATGTGAGCTACCTGATGGCGATGGAGAAGAGCAAGGCGACGCCGGCCGCCCGCGCCAGCAAGAGGATCGTCCTGCCCGAGCCCAGGTACCGGCCCCGCGGCCGCCAGCGACCCCCGCGACTTGGGGGCAGTGGGCGCTTCGGGGCTGGCCTCGCGGTCCCCGCGGTCCGGCTCGGACCCGGGCGGCGGGGAGCTGTTGGGTCGGGGGGACTCGGGGACGGAGAGCGCGCGCCCGCCCCGCGCGCAGAGGGGCTGCGGGGGGAGGGGGTTGGGACTCCGCCGCTGGACCCGCTCCGGACGGGTCGCCCCTTCGGTCCCACCCCGGTCCCCCTCCATCCCTTGGAGCCTCAGCCCTTGGTGCTCCCTCCTCCCTGCCCCGGGCTGCGGGTCCCTCCTGCCCGGTGGCTATCCTCCCTGGGTGCTCCCTGCCCCGGGCTGCGGGTCCCTCCTGCCCGGTGGCTATCCTCCCTGGGTGCTCCCTGCCCCGGGCTGCGGGTCCCTCCTGCCCGGTGGCTATCCTCCCTGGGTGCTCCCTGCCCCCGGACTGCGGGTCCCTCCTGCCCCGCGGCTGTCCTCCCCGGTGCTCCCTGCTCCCGGGCTGCGGGTCCCTCCTGCCCGGTGGCTATCCTCCCTGGGTGCTCCCTGCCCCGGGCTGCGGGTCCCTCCTGCCCCGTGGCTGTCCTCCCCGGTGCTCCCTGCTCCCGGGCTGCGGGTCCCTCCTGCCCCGTGGCTGTCCTCCCTGGGTGCTCCCTGCCCCGGTGCCCGGCTGTCCTGTCCTGTCCCCGCTTCCAACCCCGGCCCCTGTCCGCCCCTCCGGGCCCGGGCCGGGAGCGCAGATGGAGGAGTGGCTTTTGCCCCTGGTGCCGGTGCCCCTGGAGCTCCCAGGGGCTAGTGCTCCTGTGCTCTGTCCTTCCGCTCTGTGGCCCGGGCAGGAATGCGTGGGTCCTGACCCGCTCAGAGCTCCTGTCCCTGCCCAGCGCGTCCCCTGAGCTGCGCTGCTCCCTCACCTTGCAGACCTGCGGGCGGCCCTGGGTGATGAAAAGGTTGCAATAGGATCCCCTTAGAAGTCAGTGCACAGGACGATTCAAGTGGACTGCAAGCTGGGGGTGTATATTCAGGGATGCCGTTCTGAACTTGTAGACGGCATGATGTGTTTTTGCCTTACAGAATAGATCAATTGTATATATTTTTCTCTTGATTAAAAAAAAGAAAGAAGTAAGTGCACAGGGGAGGGGTGCCTCCGGGCAGCCGTTTGCTGTGGAAACGGCCACACACGGTTCCCGGGGGAGTTGGCAAGGGGCTTGGGGAGGGCCATGCCAGGTTGTAATTTCTTCTTCTTCTTCTCGGAAATGGTTTATTACGGATGAGCTAGTGAAAGACTTCACGCGTTCCTATTCTTAGCAGAAAATATCCCTCATCAGATTGATTGTGAGTTTCTGTTTTTAGAAAAATATATTTTTATTGATGTTTTACAGAGAGGAAGGGAGAGGGATAGATAGGCAGAAACATGGATGAGAGAGACACATGGATCAGCTGCCTCCTGCACACCCCCCACTGGGGATGTGCCCGCAACCAAGGTACATGCCCTTAATGGAAATCGGACCCCTGGACCCTTCAGTCTGCAGGCAGTGCTCTATCCACTGAGCCACACCGGCCTTGGCTAATTGTCGAGTTCCTAATGGGGTAGCAAAAGCATTCGCATTGCATTTCCCCCTTCCCCCGGTGTCTTTTCCTCATGCACACCACCCCCAGTTCGCACAGGGAATGTGGCTTCTCCACCCCCGGGGAGCTCTCGGTAGACTTCAGGATACAAAGGGGCATCATCCTGGCGGTGAATGCGAAGCCTGTCCTTTTGTGAAAATATTGCAATCGACACCAAAGCCCTGCAGTTGGAGAGCATCGGCCCTGGAAGCATCCTGCACCCTGAGATTGCTTCCCTGATGCCTCGACACGGGGAACAGGATCTCTCCCTATCAGCCGCTTCGAGTGGGCTGCTGTGAAAAGCCAAATTGTGTAAAGGAACACACGAGCTTGCTCCTTTAGTGTTCGGCCTCCTGGCCCTGCTGAGCCCAGGCGTCGCTTTGGTTTTGCGGGATGGCTCTTTGGTGAGCAGTGCCAAGCGGTAAAAATAAAAACAAAGAAACCGGGGCGAAGGGCAGACCCTTTGGGGCGTTGTGGAATGAACTCTCTGTTGCAGGCTGGACCCCAGCTGAAGCTCATGGAGCAATCAGTTCTGTTTAAAATTTCTGGCACAGGGGAAGGAAACGAAGGACAACCAGGACCCCCAAAGCAAGCCTGAATTTCATTTTTTTTTTTTTAAAGCTGCACTTCTCTGAATGGCGTCTTAAATGCTTAATTCCTTTCTCTTCTTCCTTTCCACTCTTCCTAACGGGCCCTCCCTATAAAGTTCCTCTCCATAAATTTAAAAAATTAAAACTCGGGCAGTTTTCTAGGGGTGTGTGTGTGAGAGAGAGAGAGAGATACATAATATTATTAAAATTAGGAACTTCTGCTAAGTTTTCTTTTTTTCCCCCCTCCATGTTTCGAACTTAATGTGACTTCTGCTTTTTCGTCTCCCTGAGAATGCACTTACGTGTGAGGGTATTGACTTCCTTGTATAAATGCCTTTATTTAGGCGGTGTTCTTTAGCAAGGCTTTTTTTTCTCCTACTTTTTCTTTTTTGCAGAATGAGTGACTGCGAGTACATTTCTTGTGATATTTTAGAAATGAGAAACATCAACAGGAGAGTAATTTTAGGAAGCAGCTCCTTAGCACTTGATACTCTTGCTATTTTTAAAACAGTCTCTTGAGTTAGGCCCTCCCCCAGGGATCCTCATTTTTTTTATTTATTTGTTTGTTTGTTTTGGTATTTATCTCAGTGGCCTTGGCTTTGGATTTGTAACATGACCCTTTACACCAGTGATTCCCAACCTTTTTTTTTTTTTTTTTTGGCCACGCCCCACCTAAACCTCTCTCAAATCCTGATGCTCTCCCCCCACCATGACATAGAATTCTTATTATTAAAAAAGTGAACTCCACATATAATATCTTAATAAATTTTTTTTTAAAAAAGTGAGCTCCTATTCACGTGGAGGAAGCTGAAAAGGCCATTAGCTTGGTATAAACAAGCCTCTAAAGAACACGGCATCGCCGAAACCAGTTTGGCTCAGTGGACAGAGCGTCGGCCTGCGGACTGAAGGGTCCCAGGTTTGATTCCTGTCAAGAGCATGTAGCTTGGTTGCGGGCACATCCCTAGGGGGCGGTGTGCAAGAGGCAGCTGGTCAATGATTCTCTCTCATCGATGTTTCTAACTCTCTATCCCTCTCTCTTCCTCTTTGTAAAAAACCAACAAAAATATATTTAAAAAGAGAACATGGCATCCATGAAAGAGAAAAATAAAAGAACAAAAGGACAATTGAAGTCCTGAGGAAGACATCACTAAGAAATTCAAAAAGAAAAAAGAAGAAGACCATGAAGTGATATGAAAAAATAGCAGTTTCAAAACATATACCGTACTAGAGAACTGACATGCATGAACATGTCACAATATGTATTTACATACTGTATACGAGGCCTTTTAGAGCCATAAGAAATGCAAAAGAATTCACTGTTAATAACCCATTCTTGAATTGCCCCCCTTAGTAATCAAATTGGCCCCCTTCCCCCGTGAGGCGTGTGCTCCAGGTTGGGAACCGTGGCTTTACACCAGGGGTGTCGAACTCAATCAGAGAAGGGGCCAAAATCTAAAATCCAGCCTAAATCGCGGGCCGAATGGTTTACTGAACAGTCATAAACTGTCATTGTGATGGAAACGCAGCGGAGTGCAGTGATGACAGCGCGGTGCGGGCCACATTGCAAGGCCTGGCGGGACGGATTTGGCCCGCGGGCCTTGTGTTTGACACATGTGCTTTACACAGTAACCACCCCTGCTTGGGCTGAGTTAGGATTTTTTATTTATTTTTTTTACATTGAGCTTATCAGGCGAAACATCTCGCAGCTTCTTTCTGCCCCTGGGTGGCAGTTGACGGCCTGCCTGCTGGATTGCGGGGCCGGAAGGTTGGGGGGTGGTTTCAAGATAACGGTAAGAAAGTTAGCTTCATGTCACAGTGCCTGACCAGAGTGAGTCAGAAAGCCTCGTGTGACCTCACTCCTCCTGTAAAGGTTCCTGGTCAGATGCTTGGCGCTTCCTCCTCCGTTTCCGAGCGGTCCATGTGACCTCGCGCTGTCGGCGGGGAGAGGGGGAGCAGCCGTGCGAGAAGCACAAAGCCGGCCGCGGGCTCCTCACTGGTGACACTCTGTTTCCAGCGGATGGTTTGAAGCCACCGCGGCCCTTCTCTGCGTGCTTCCTCCTTTTGGTGACTCTGCCTTTCCCCTCCCGGTTTGAAGAGAGAAAAGCGACAGAGCGAAACAGTATCTGGCTGGTTTCAATGAAATGTGGGGGCTGCATTGCCCTGTTTTTATTTTGTGTGTGTGTGTGTGTGTGTATGTGTGTGTGTGTGTGTGTGTGTGTTTGGGGGGGGGGGTAGTAGAAAAATGGCACATTCTGCCCAGACGAGATGCTACTTCTGTGAGATCGCAAGAGGCCACCAGTTCGTCAGGTTGACACGTTATTCAGCCCTCTGAGCGGAAAAGCTGACTACTGGTTCACATCAGAGAGATGCTTATTTACGGAAACATTTGTGGACCTCATGAAGCCGATAACGGGATCTTTTGGGAAGAGGGAGCCGACCCAGGCACTCCCTGTGTGCAGGCCCAGCGACAGACAGCACCAGCTTGGCAGGAGAGAAATACTTTTATTTAATAGGGTCCGATCCATAAGCCCAGGCCTCACCGAGGGCCAGCCTCTGAAGGAAGGCCTGGAACGGTCCAGACTGCGTTTGCTTTTTTAATCCTTTTGCGGGCACATTCCCCAGAACGTTCGATTCCGGGCAAGGGCATGTCCTTTGGTTGCGGGCACATCCCCAGTGGGGGAGTGTGCAAGAGGCAGCTGATTGATGATTCTCTCTCATCGATGTTTCTAACTCTCTATCCCTCTCTCTTCCTCTCTGTGAAAAATCAATAAAATATATTAAAAAAGAAAAAAGAA